AAGGTAGAAGTTATCTGAATTCATAGAAATGAGTCAAAGTGTCAGATTATCAATAGCCTCAGTTTTCTCACCTACAAAGTGGAGATAATAATGCTAACTCATTTGGTTGATATTAAGATTAAATTAAATATGACAATGTATGCAAAATACCCATCACAGTACCTGGTACATACTAAGTGCACAATAAATGGCAAATAATAATAAATACTCCTGTGCCTGGATTATAGTCAGCACACCTCCATAGATCCTTTCCACTCATCCTGACTCCTGGCTGTCCCCTGAGGACCCTGCTTCTGCCTCAGACTTTGAGTTGAGGCTGCTTGTTCTTCCTCTGTCAGTTCAGGTTCTCACCAGAAATAGCAGCCTCGCTCAAAGCAATGAGGAGAGCTTAAATAACAGAACACAGAGGCCAACCCGTGTGGATCAAGGAGGAAGAGAGTGGATGGAGTAAGTGCCTTTCTCCTCCCATGCTCCAATCTCCTGTTGGTGCCTGCAATTGGCTGAGTCCAGCTGAAAGCCAGAGGGCAGGGGAGCCCATTGATCTGGTCCATAAAGGTTAGTCTTGAGGGGCCTGGAGCAGGATACAAGAGTGATCTGGAGGAGCAAGAAGAGAACATCCAGCACATCCCCACCTCAGAATCCTTGGGTTCTGGAGGTGGACCACATCCTCCTCATGCCCTAATGATTCTTTCAGATCACTTGTCCACAGATCACCTGGAGCTTGTATTTATCCTCTGTTGACACTCTGTCCTCTATTTCTAGCCGTTCATCAGCACTATTAATCTTCTGGTCACTGCTTCTCTTTCACTGAAGCCTCAGGATTCCTCTCCAAGTCCTGCTGTCATCCTGGTGACGCCAAGTTAATGTGAGTAGCCCAGTCAACATCCAGGACTCTCAGTTTCTAGGCTGCCTCATCTTTAGTGACTTCCAGCTTCCTTCCTCTTTAGCCATCAACCGTATGACCACACCCAAATTCTTGTTAGCAGCTAGAGAAGCTCCCCCTAGAAAATGACAAATTCACATATCCCTATCAAGAACTGTGAGGGCTCTGAACAAGTTAGCCTGACACAGTTTTATGGATGCTGGTAGAAAACACAGAATCTTGGGTCAAAGATGAAGTACAACTTATTAGAGCAATAGCATTAGCCAGAATATCAACATTTTTCTGTTGATTCCCTGGGTTCCAATTCCCACGGGACAATGCAATGAAGGCTAAATGACACCTGCACACTGAGTGGCTTGCATTATAGGAGAGGAATGCTGAGTTTAGGGAACTGGAAACTTCTATAATGGGCAGTAAGCATGCCCTTGCTCTGTCAAGTGATACTAATCTCTATCTTCCAAGGTGTTATGGACCGAATTGTGACCCCCCTAAAATTTGTATTTCGAGGCTCTAATCCCCAGTGTGATGGTATTTGGAGATGGGGACTTTGGGAGATAATTAGGTGTAGATGAGGTCATGAGGTAGGGCCTCCATGATGGGATTAGTGCCCTTAAAAGAAGAGACACCAGGGAGCTTGCTGTCTCTCTCTGCCACGTGAAGGCAAAGCAGTAAGTCAGCCATCTGCAACCAGGAAGAGAACTCTCACCAGAACTTGACCACGCTAGTGCCTTGATCTCAAATTTCCAGCCTCCAGAACTGTGTGAGAGAAGTTTCTGTTGTTTAACCCACCCAGACTATTGTATTTTCTTATGGCAGCCCAAGTAGACTAAGATGCAAGGCTATAAGCAAATATACCCCTTTGCTCTGGAAGAAAATGCCTTTATCTCAAGGTTGTTTGCTTGCTTACCACTTTTGTTCGGCTGAGTAAATTTGAAGATCTCAATTAGATCTTCATTTAATGATTCATGAATTGGACAGTATCCCATCTTAGCACTTAGAAAGGAGCTCTCAGGACCTGTCCGAAATGGAAGCTTATTATAGGCAGAAGGGGGAGGAAAAAGAAAGCTTCTAGCAAAAGAGTGGATTGTTTCAGGCAAGGTCACCTTCATTTGGGGGAAGCTGTGGGTCTATCAGGCAGATTACCCGACTAGTGCTGACCAGGTAATTCCATATTGACTGGTTAAAGGACACATTCCTGGGAGAGGCTGAAAATGCAATTAGGTTACGTATTAAGTCTTGTTTTCCTGATGTGGGGCTTAGCACAGGTGACTCCATTTTGGCCTTGTTGTTTCTTTCTTAATACTATTAAAATGGTAGATACCCCAAGCTCAGTGTTCTTTAGTTGAGATGCAAAACCACTGCATGTTCAGCATTCACCTGGCCCTGTAGGACTTGCAGAACAAGGCGCGCCCCTGCAAACACGATGCACATGATGCTTGTTGTGCTGTGGGTAATAAAGTCTTTTCTTTCTGACCCGGGAGTCTCCTGTTTTCTGCCACCATCTAAACTAATTAGCTTGCAAATAGGGTAAAATCAAATCTCATAGTTGACACCTATGACAGAGCCAAAGTTAATTTATTTTAGTTTCTCAAAGAAGTCATGCCCTGGAAGACATCACAAATGCTACTTTCTCTACCTAGAACATTTCATCCCTTCTCTTCTCCTGGTAACTACCATCAGTTTCTCTGGGAAGCCTTCTCCCCTGCCTCCCGTTCCTTATCCCTTGACAGCATTATTTCCTCCCTCCTCCAAACCCCCAGAGAGCCTTCTGCTTCTCTGACCATAGCACTTCTTCCAATGTATTATAATTCCCTGTTTATTTACTTGGTCCCTTCTTCCCCTGTAGAGTAGGATCTCTGTGAGGACAGAGATAGTGTCTTCTAAAATATATCCCAGATCTAGTACATTGCTGGGCATACTGTAGGTGTTTAATAAGTATTTATGGAATGAATGTGGTGTTATTATACTGATATGCATAAAGCAGTATTAAAACACAGATGAAGGTCATCTAAATCAGCGTGAAGGTCTAAGAGGAAAGCCTTAAAGGGAACCAAAATGTCACCCCCAAGTATGACTCTGACATAAAAGTTATTTTGAGCTGAAGGCAATCAAGAAGCAGTAAATGTGGAAAAAGCTCCCCCTTTTCTTTCTAAAGGCAGGAAATAAATGTTTCCTTTCATGGAGACAGACATCAGCCCAAAGACTAGAGACCAGTGTAAAAGTAAACTCAAAATGGAGTTGGTGTTGCTAAGAGAGCCCTCTAAAATACAGCTGGGAGATCATTGAGGAAGTGTGACTTACGCACATCTCAGCCTGGATGGAATCTGACCTTTTGACCACTTATTGTCTTAACACCGGCATCCAGAATATCTATCCAGTGTTCCAGAAACTCAAGATAATTATTCGACTCACCCTAAAATTAGCTCATGACAGCCTACCTACTTATTTGACCCTTACCCTAGAATAACTAGTGAGAGCCTGTCCCTTAAGGAATATTGCCCTAAGGGATTGCCTGAGAGTCCAACATAATTCTTTTTTTTGGCCGTGTGGCTTGTGGGATATCAGTTCCCTGACCAGGGATTGAACCCAGGGCATGGAAGTAAAAGCCCAGAATCCTAAACGCTAGGCCACCAGGGAACCCTCTAATTCTTGAACAACCTTGTGGCTTTTGCCTTTATAAGCCCCTGATTCCTTCTCTTCCCCGGAACACTCTTGGTTTTACCCTAATCTGTGTCTCTGAATTGCAGTTCTTGAGACCCTAAATAAAGGGTCTTTGCAGCTGCGATATTATTATGAATACTAATTATTAATATTATTGTTCAACAAGAGACACTGGTGTAATCTGCAAACAAGCTTTGTAAACCTAACTCTCATCTTCCTACTTAAGGAAGATAAGCCCTAGTTGGACTACTCCTAGTCCAAGCCTCATTGTCTTGTCAATTCTTCACAAATTGTTTCTTTGTAGAAAAGGTATAAAAACTTCCTGCTCTGGTCACTTCTTCTGGTCTTCATTTTCTTTCGAAGACTCCCATGTACATGTAAAAAATCAATAAACTTTGTGTGCTGTTCTCCTGTTAATGTCTTTGTCACTACCTTTCAGACCTGGCCAGGGACCCTAAGAGGTTGGAGGAAAACTTTTTCCTACAGCTTCCTAGAGGAGGTGACGATTCAAGTTGGTCTGGAGGACAAATTTGTTAGTAGGCAGAGAAGGGAAAGGCGTTTCAGGCAGTGAGGATGGTATATGAACTCGGGAGAAGTAGGGACTGGAAAAGTAGTGCCTTTCAGAAACTGCGGGGACTTCCCTGGTGGCGTGGTGGTTGGGGGTCCGCCTGCCGATGCAGGGGACACGGGTTCGTGCCCCGGTCCGGGTAGATCCCACATGCCGCGGAGCGGCTGGGCCCGTGAGCCATGGTCGCTGAGCTTGCGGGGCCTGTGCTCCGCAGCGGGAGAGGCCGCAGAGGTGAGAGGCCCGCGTACCGCAAAAAAAAAAACAAAAAAACTGCGTATGTTTCAGTATGACTGCAGCTAGGGTCAGAGGGAGGGATGGAGTGGCAGGAAATAAAGCTGACGGGTAGGCAAGGGCTGATCATGAAGTTTGAATTTTATCTAGAATCTAGATTTTCATGTCACGCTTGGACTTTTTGTTAAAGGCACATCCTCTTCAGTGTATCATAACGTGAAATGGTGGGCAGAAAAAAGAGTAGTAATTTAAGAAAACTTGGGTTGCAATATTGGTTCCTCCACTCACTTCTCTCTGGGCCTCAGAACCACGGTAAAAAAAAAAAAGCAGTAATAACATCTATCTTAAGAGTTTTGCGAGGATTAAATGCAGTAACTTAGGTAAAGATACATGGCATCATTCAATAAATTCGTTTTTCCCCCTCTTTTTCCTGTGGGTCGGTAGGGTGGAGGCCTGGCCGCTTTAGCACGCCCCTCCCAGATCGAGGCTGGGCACTGCCGGGAGAACTGCTGCCGACCGGACTGCTGCCGATCGGCGGGTCCCTCTCCCTCAGGTTGGTCCGGCCTGGGATCGGCCGCACGGGGGCGCGCTAGGCTGCCCCTCGGCACTCTATGGTTCTTCCTTTCGACCCGGAAGTGGTTCCGGGCGGGGTTTGGTAAGGTCGGGCCATGGTGGGGCAGAGGTTGGGAAGATGGCGTGGCGAGGCTTGGCGCAGAGAGGCTGGGGCTGTGGTCAGGCGTGGGCTCCGCCGGCGGGCGGCCGCAGCTGCGAGGAGCTCACTGCAGCCCTGGGTCAGCCGCGGCTGCTCGGGCGCAGGTAATGGTCGCGTCTCGGGGCTTCTCGCCTCTCGTGCCCTCGGCTCCGGCAGCGCATCCTGAGGGGCGGAGGCCGTGCGGTTCTCTTATGCTGCCCCCGGCTCACCCTCTCTCTTCACCAGCCCCTCCTCTCTCCCTCCCCCTTTACCCCTCGCCTGCGTCCAGTCCTCGCTTCTTGCCGCGCCACCCTGCCCGGGTGCACAGTGACCAGCCCCGGCCCAACTCTCCGTGAGCCCGCGGTGGCCCCTTTCCCATCCGGAGGGACGGGAAAAGTAATCTGTGAGGGCTGATTGCGCACCACGCCTCATAATCCTGCGAGCAAGAGTTAACACAGCTGGTAGAATGGCAGGGCTGAGATTTTATTCTGTCAGTCTTTATAAAACCTTTGTTTTACTACAAATTACCTTCTTTATCGTTTAGAGAACTCTGTAAGGGAAGGCGGAGTCAGAGGAGGGCATCACTTTGCCTCTTGCAGAGTTGTAGGAGAGGCTTTTCTGTTAAAGAAGTTGGGAAGTGGAGTATTTGGTTTCTAGATGACTTGGAAAGAAAAGTCAATTTTTCCCGAGTAGAAGCTGTATGAAGAGTACGGTCTATCAGTATTTGCTGCTTTTGCATTAGAGTAATTCAACTCTAAATTGAGAGAAGAGAGAAATCCCTGAACTAATATTCTGATGTGTATTTGGCTCTGAAATTTCTTCCTGTTCTTTAACAGAATTTCAGCTCTGCCAGTTTCTGACTTGGTTAGATGTGTGCCTGGAATCCACCTGACTGATAGTAGCAAGGAACATGAAGTGTTTATCAACATGGGGATTAGCCAGTGGTAAATAATTGAGGCTCCAATATGGTGGAGCCATCCTTAATTTTAAAATCACCTGGAGTGTTTTTAGACTGTATTTCCCAGGCCCTATTGCAGTCCTTCCTGTCATCTTGCCCGGTGCTGGGGGGCGGGGAGTGAAAGAACCTGCAGTTCTAAACAAGCACTGCGTGTGTGTAGGATCAGAAATTTGTGGAAAACTGGCTTATATTGTACCTTAACTTCATGATACACTGGAACATGGAGCCTCAGGCACTAATCTTAAACTCCTGAGGAGATGGAGAATGAGGTCAGGTGGAGGTGGTGGTTGATTTCAGTGGTCCTGATTCCATTTCCACTTTACTCCAAATCCCAGTCGAAATTGCATGGTTTGAGGGGGAGGAAAAGTGAATACAGTTATTAGGAGGCAACAGGTGTTAAATATTCAAGATATGTGTTAGGAAGGGAAAGGAAAAGAACTAACTTGGTTAATGAGGCCATTTAAAAAAAATCATGTGATGTTGAAGATTAGCATCACAATTTTTTAGTTTGTCATTTATATGCAGAGTTTGAAATTGACATTTTTTTGTGGTGACACTGAAAAATGTGCATTACAAGAGATTGTAGGTAAGCCTGAAATAGAATATATGTCTACTTTCCTCTAGAAAGCATGAGTTTCCTTGTATATAACTTTATTAGGTCTGCTTTCACTTCTAGTGGTTCTAAAATTAGTATGTGGAGGAATGAAGTCATGGATACGGTTAAAAAGCAGAGGTCTGGGCTCAGTCCTTGTGATTTTGATGTAATGGGCCTGAAGTGTGGCTGAGAATTTGCATTGTTTTCGTCTTACAAGAACTACAGGTGGTGATATTCCTCAAAATTTCTGCAAACAATAGCAGGCCCAAGGCAGCCCACCAGCCAAGAATGGTTTCTATGTCTTTAAAGGGTTGCAAAACAAAACACTATGCCGCAGAGTTTTAAATTGTTCTTCACAAAGACTAAAATGTTTATTGTCTGGCTCTTTACAGAAAAAAGAGACTATTTCACTTAGGGTTTTCAGAAACTTTACCATGATCAAACTGTTGGCAGCACTGCTGAAAAATGGTTTAGGTCTGAAAGAAGCCTGCGTAATTTGTCAGTTGTATAGAACTAGCTAAGAGAAGAAAATAGTTGATTGTAGCACTTACACGGAGCTTAAATCTTTTAGATTAGGATAACAATCTTAAGATATCTTTAGGTTAAATACCTGACAAATTAGTAAATCAGGTATATTCAATTATTTTCCCTGTTTAATTCACCATGTATTAACTCAAGGTGAGTTTTAAGAAAATAATTGTGGCATGCAAGAGTTTATGCCCCTTCCCCTAAATACAACTATTTTCTTTTAAGTGGGATGAGTCTGTTGTGTGTGTGCTTGGACACGTCTTGTCTCCATTTGCACAATAGGCCACTTCTACTCAGTTTATTCACACAAATCTATAGTAACATAGACATTAGTGCTGACTTGTACGATATCTAAGTGGCATTGTCTTTATCCTCACACTGTTGAAAACAATTCACTAGATCGTGTTATCTCACCACTAAGGCAACAGATATATAGACATGACTTTTCAATTTAAAAGTTACGGGATGATATTAAAAAATGGAACCATAACAATTGTGTGGTTAGTGGTAACTCAAGCATTCATAAGATCTTCCCACTTTGAGCACGTTACATTGCTTTCACAAATCACTAGTTATTGGCAGAAGGACCAAAGCACAGAGCAAAAAGGCAGGCCTGTCCTCATGAGTTGGTATATACCTTTTGTGACTCTTTCCTCCCATCCCACCCCCATGCATTTTATTGTGTTGCTTCCTTTGTTTTCCAGACTTATTTCAGGTCATTTATTTTTCCATATTACCTACCCATATGAATGGTTAGAGCTTAAGAACCTAGGCCTTTAAATATGATATCAAACATTTGCAGTTGGAGACATTTATTACACTTTTCCTGGTTGGTTTTACTTCTAAGAAATGTAAAACAAAAGCTCACTAAGGACAGAGAACGTACCTTGTCATATAATGTGTGATGAAGTACTTATTACATCTAAAAGCATCCTTGTACCAACAGAAAACCCAGCTCTAGCTGACCTTAATAATTAGGGGAATTTATTGGTTTATACCGTTAAAAAGTCCAGAGGTGAGCCTGGCTTCTGGGTGAGGCAAGATCGTGTTTCAGATTGTCACCAGGACTCCATTTTCCTCCATGGCTTGGCTCTGCTTCCTAAACGTTGGCTTTATGCTCTCAGTATGCTATCTCCTTGTTGTAAGATGGCTGTCAGCAGCTCTTGGGGCTATATACTTGTAGGTTCAAGTCCAGCAGAAAAGATTCTCTTCCCCAGTATTACAAACAAAATCTTGAAATTTGAATTTCACTGGACTGGATTGGCCTAACTTGGGATGCATGTTCATCTTTGAATTCCTTAAAGTTGCCAGGGATGTGGGACGTGTAGGTTCGCTTAAGCCAGTCAGGAGCTTGGTGTGCCTCCCCAAACCAAGTGGCTGGAAATTCCAGGGTACCCTTAGGTGCGGATGCTAGGATTGAGCCAAAAAAGCTCACTGTCAGTCCTAGTGAAACTTTTGTATTGGAATACTTTGGTTACAAATCCTAATTTTAAAATTCTAGTCAGATAGGATTAACCTGTAGATAACCATTGTAATTTAAGTAGAAATGTTGTTGGAAGGATGAGGGATTAGATTCTAGCTCCTGCTGTTCAAAGTGGTTCATGAACGAGCAGTTCAGGACAGGGTTTGCTAAACATATTTTGTAAATGGCTCGATAGAAAATAGGGCCACGTAGGTCACTGTCAGATATTCTTTTTCTTTTAAACAACTCTTTTAAGCAATAATAAATGAGACAACTGAGGAAGCTGCTACCAGATCAGGTTCTGCTAACCAAAGTAAGAACTATGCTGTCTCCACCGTTATTTTCACTAGCAGAAGTCATGCCTCGTGTGCTGCCTCTCACTCAACTCAGTTCTGACTTCAGGTGTTGTGCTGATGTATCTGATTAACAGGCCCTGATCACATCTCGAATACTAACCAAAAGGATACCTGAGAAATAGTTCTTAGCTTTCCAGTCCCTGCAGCATGTGAATGTACCATAGGTGAAAGGAATAGGTGTTCAGTGAGCCAAGTCATAGTACTTAATTCTATCCAACAAGTTCTGTATGTCCAACTCTAATTCCCAGTGTATGTATTCCTAACATGTATTTTGCATCTGAACTGCATCTGGGGCCAATTTGTTCTTGGTGTCCTCAGTCCCACACTTAACTTCTGTTGAGATTCTCAAGGTAAATATTATTCTAGGCAAAAGGTCTGGCTTTGCGTCAAATCCAGATTCCCAACCTGGTGTATTTGTATTCCTTTTCAAGTATTGTGCTTCAGAATTGTAAATGAGTTGATGAGCTGTAGAAGAACTGATTGAGTACATATCCTGGAGTATTAAGCTGTTGGAGATATAAAGAAATCTCATCCTTCATATTTCTTGGTCTAAAAGGAAGAAAATGTGGCCTACTGGTTGGGATTCTGGGTTCTCACTGCCGTGACCCAGGTTCAATCTTGGTTGGGGAGCTGAGATCTTGTAAGCCACGAGATGTGACCAAAAAAAAAAAGAATACCAGAAACCAACAACATTGGGTTACGATTTTTTTTTAACTTATTTATTTATTTTTGGCTGCGTTGGGTCTTCGTTGCTGTGCGCAGGCTTTCTCTAGTTGCAGCAAGCGGGGGCTGCTTCATGGTGGTGTGCGGGCTTCTCATTGCGGTGGCTTCTCGTTGCGGAGCACGGTCTCTGGGCACATGGGCTTCACTAGTTGTGGCTCACAGGCTCAGTAGTTATGGCTCCCCGGCTCTAGAGCGCAGGCTCAGTAGTTGTGGCACATGGGCTTAGTTGCTCCATGGCATGTGAGATCTTCCCGGACCAGGGCTCGAACCCGTGTCCCCCTGCATTGGCAGATGGATTCTTAACCACTGCTGCCACCAGGGAGGCCCTGGGTTACAATTTGTAACCATTTACAGGGAAACATTTAAAGGAAACATATTCCTATTACTTTGTGTCACATCTTTGGGGTTTTTGGCCCAAAGTGGTGTTACTTGTAATTTATTTACTAGATCTAGCTCTAAATTACTTCGGAATATTTAATAAAAATCAAATCCAATTGCAAAGGATTAACATCTGCCACTTTTAAAGCTGTTATCAGTTAGGAATGCATTTGGCTATAAGTTAATTGTTGCTTAAAGAAACGAGAGGAGTATTTAGCATAAAATGATTGGAGGTAGGTGGCTATTGTCTTTGCTCAGTGGCTCAAAAAATGTTAAGGTTAGTTTCTGAAGCCCTTGGCCTTTCTCTGGGCATTCAAGATGACTGCCTCATCTCTAGGAAATTGCGTCCTTTTTCAAGGCAAAAAGAAGTGGGAGGGATGTGACATTAGTGATACCTCCAATTTTATCAGATAAGCAAAACCTTTTCAAGAGGTTTCTAAACAGTTAAGTCTCATTTTGTCAGAACTCTGTAATATGGCCATCCCTAGCCATAGGAGAGACTGGTAAAGTGAAGATATTTATCTTTCCTAGGCTCTGCAGAAAAAGCAGGCAACAGAACAAGAACTAGAAATAGATTTGCAATTAGCCATTCAACAGTTACTTGCTATAGGATATTCATAAGACTGGGAACAGGTTCTGAAGTTCAGAGCCATTCAGAGCAGCATTGGCATTGTTTGACTAAGTGTACTGCTTTCCGAAATAGATTTTGTTGAAAGAAGTAGCACTTATTTGTTAGTACAAATTCTAAATTATTAGAAGTTTTAAGGTGAATTACTTTATCATCATCACCCATCCTCACCATGTGATGTCTGAGAAGTTGAACTGTGGCGTAGACTTAGTGTTGAAGACAGAGCATTTTAGGTGAGTAATGGTAATAGTAGCTATACCATTTTTCTGAGTTTCGTGTTTCCAAATGCCTGCTAGACATCACCTGGGTGTTCTACCAATGCTAAAAATACTTCATTGCAATATAATTTACATGTAGTAAAACATATAAGTATTAACGCATACAGCCCATTAGTTCTGACAAATGTATACACCTGTGCAACCATCACCTAAAAATAAAGATACTGCCCATCATTCCATCAAGTTCCCTCTTGCCCCTTTCCAATCAAGTCCCACTTTACGCAACCACTATTAATTTTTTTTAAAAATTATTTATTTATTTATTTTTGGCTGTGTTGGGTCTTCATTGCTGTGCGCAGGCTTCCTCTAGTTGCAGCGAGCAGGGGCTACTCTTCGTTGTGATGCATGGGCTTCTCATTGAGGTGACTTCTCTTGTTGCAGAGCACGGGCTCTGGGTGCGCGGGCTTCAGTATTTGTGGATGAGGGCTCAGTAGTTGTGGCTCATGGGCTCTAGAACGTGGGCCCAGTAGTTGTGGCGCATGGGCCTAGTTGCTCCACAGCATATGGAATCTTCCTGGACCAGGGCTCGAACCCGTGTCCCCTTCATTGGCAGGTGGATTCTTAACCACTGTACCACCAGGGAAGTCCACCACTATTGATTTTGGTCACCACAAATTATTTTTGCCTGTTCTTTAGCTTGATATGCATTAATGGAATCACACACATTATGTGCTCTTTTGTGTTTGACTTCTTTTACTCAGCAGTGTTTTTGAGATTCATCCGTGATGTGTGATCAGTAGTTTTTCACTGAGTGATACAGTTGGCCCTCTGTATCTCCAGGTTCCTCATCCATGTATTCAAACAACTGTGGATGGGGAATGTCACTGTATTATGTCATTTTATATAAGGGATTTCAGCATCCCGAATTTGGTATCCGCAGGGAGTCCTAGAACCAGTCTCCCGTGGATACTGAGGGACCACTGTATTCCATTGTATGAATATTACACAGTTCATCCTTTCCCCTGTTGATGGAAATTTAAGTTCCAATTTTTACCTGTTAGAACTGAGCTGATGTGATGGCAGGCATTTTAAACAGTGCCCAAGATGGAATTATTCATCTCTCATTTTCCAGTTTCCTATTTTGGTGCCTCTGATTTTCCTTGTCTTAGTGAGTAGTACCACCTTCCTTTCAGTTATTCAGAATAAAACCAATAATCATTCTTGACCCCTTCTTTCTTCTAACATAATTATTGACCCTTTCTTTATTAGGAACTGGCCTTGGTGGTGGAGATAAAATGAATACAGAAGTGATAATCTAGTTATGGTACAGGCAATAAATGAGACAAGTATAAGAGTACATACAGGATGCTTTAGAACTCTAGGAGTACAGAGGAGACACCCAGCCTGCGAGAGTTTAGGAAGGCTTCCTGGAGGAGGAAATAAATGAACTGAATTTTGAAGGGCACGAAAAAGTTAAAGGGAAGTAAGTACCGCAACAAAGGAGTAGCATTGCTCAATTTGGTGGGGTGATGAAAAATTTACTGTGAGATTTAAAGCAGGGGAATGATAATATATTTGTGCCTAATAAAATGTGGAGGATGAGTTGGAGTAAGGCAGTATTAGAAGCAGTGAGATCTGTTAGGAAATGGTAGAGTATTCCAGGCCAAAAGGGATGAACTAAGGGATTGTGTGGGAATTAGGGAGAGAATGTTGGCCCTCTAAGAGGGCATTTGAGGAAGTGTTGAATGTTTGTGGAAGAGTGATATGAGGAAAGAAGAACATGCAACATGTTAAAATGTTTGAACTTAAGTCAGCTGTTGCTGTTGTTTAGGCATGGGGTACGGGACTAGATTAGGAGTGAAAAAAATATTTGACAGATTTGGTTTTAAATTAGATGGTAAGAATTAAGCAGAGAGAACTCCATAATGACTTCTAGATTTTTAATCTTAGTGATTAAGATAACTGTGGGCCCACTGAAAGAATAAAGAAGTCAGAAAATGGAGCTTGTAGAAGGGGATGAATTCCCTTCTGAATATATTGATTTTAAAGTAATAGGGAGCATATCCAAGTAGAATTATTCAGTATATAGTTGGAAATACAAGACAAGAAAATTGAGGCTGGGACTAGAGACATATATTTGAATCATTTACTTGCTTAGAAGTCATCCGGGCCACAGAAATGAACTTTTTCTTTTATTCAACCAAAGTGTTTCAAGGCCCACGTTACAAAGGTGAGAAGACCTGTCTGACTGGCAGACAGGAGTTCTATGAGTCTGAAGGATATAGTAGGATTAGAGTACAATGAGAACAAACAGGAAGGGGCCTCTACATGGTCTACCTGGGGGAAATTACCATTTTACAAAAGAAAAAAATGCTTCACAAATTTATATGGGTTCAGTTTGAATGGAGAATGTGTAAAGGAACTGTTAGAGCCTTTAAGTATATCTGTCTTTATGGGATAGGAGAAAGGGGGAAGCCGTTAGGAAAGCACGTGTGAAGAGCAGGGAGTGCAACCTTACAGGCGCTGACAGGTGTGATCAGTAGTGTCAGATGTTTTGAGGAGGTCAAGCTATAAGGACTCAAACAAGAAAACCCTTTATAGAACATCTAGTTGGGTGTCCCCCAAACTGGTAGTGAAGTAAATAGGGGGCAAGGTGGGGAAAATCTGCCAATTTGTAATGGTTAGTACTTATAAAAGGAAAATCATTATTTGATTTAAATGTTTGGCCAAACTTCAAAAAAAATAAAGCTATTCTGTGCTAATTCAAACCACAACTTGTAGTTCTCCAGCTTTTTACAGGATTGCAGACTGTGTGGGGGATGGATACAAATTATTCTGTTGATTGATACACAGTAGCGGCGCAAACAGATGCCCTGTAAAGCTGCTGTAGTTTATGTCTCTCCTTTTTCAGAAGGGCACAGTTCATTGTTTTGACTGAATCCTACCTGGGAGTAGGAGTCTTGGTGGCTTTGGGGCTGCATAGTGAGAATAAACTGAAATGGTGATGATGCACGTCAGTTGGGGAGGCTCGTAGAGGTTGATGTTTGCAAGATGCAGCTCTGTTTCTTCCTTCCTTCCCTCCTTCCTTCCTTCTTTCCTTCCTTCCTATTTATTTTCCTTATTTTTTTTGGCTGCATCGGGCCTTAGTTGCAGCACACGGGATCTTCGTTGAGGCACACAGGATCTTTAATTACCACACTCGGTCTCTGTTGCTGCGCTCAGGCTTCTTACTAGTTGCGGCGTGAGGGTTTTCTGTCTCTAGTTGTGGTGCGCGGGCTCCAGGGTGCATGGGCTCTATAGTTGTGTTGCGCGGGCTCCAGAGCACAAGGGCTCTGTAGTTTGTGGCACGCAGGCTCTCTCATTGAGGTGCGTGATCTCAGTAGTTGTGGCGCGTGGGCTTAGTTGTCCCGAGGCATGTGGGATCTTAGTTCCCCAATCAAGGATCGAACCCACGTCCCTGCAGCTCTGTTTCTAATCTGTTATTTTCCCCTATAGGTTTAATGTTTTTATTCAGCAAAAATGTGGATTCAGAAAAGCACCCAGGAAGGTTGAACCTCGAAGATCAGACACAGGAACAAGTAGTGAAGCATACAAGAGAAGTGCTTTGATTCCTCCTGTAGAAGAAACAGCCTTTTATCCTTCTCCTTATCCTATAAGGACTCTTGTAAAGCCTTTGTTTTTTACTGTTGGGGTAAGAGCTCACGTCACTAGGAGTTACCTACCTTGCTGCAGGTGTAGTGTTAAAGTATCAATACTACTTGTCCTATTTGGGCTCCCTTAAAGACAAGTGGAGTGGGATCAAAAGGATCTGGGGTCATGATTACAATAGAACATGAATTTAATAATTGCTGTTAGAGTATGGGTCATTTATGTAAGCCCTGGAGAAGAAACTCATGGGCCTCTTATTTGGTATAACAATGCAAGTGATACTGAGTTGATATTTTGAATTTTATTGGAAAAGTTCTAACTGTAAACAGGCCCCAGGGTACTGTAACGTTAATAAAATGGGAAACAATTAAGTGTTCTTTTCACCTAGTAAGTTTCAGTGGGCCAGATGTTCCTTATGTTTATAAAAAGCAATGAAAATGAAATATCATCCTTGGAACTACGTATAGATCTATTTAAAAAAATTTTTCTTTTGTAATATATTTATTTTATATAGTTTACAGGCTGTGCATTTGGATCAGCTGCCATTTGGCAATATGAATCACTGAAATCCAGGGTGCAGAGTTATTTTGATGGTATAAAAGCTGATTGGTTGGATAGCATAAGACCACAGAAGGAAGGAGACTTCAGAAAGGAGGTAAAGATAAACATGGCATTTTTTTTGTTCTAATTGATCAGTTTTTGAAGTCTGGTTATTTATGAAGTGTTTTTAGTTAATGGCAACATTAGATCAGTAGATGTGAAGTCATTGCAGTTAATATTCTTCTTTAGAGTCATTTCATTGTAGTAAGTATCTGTTTCGTATGTCTGGCAACGTTGTACTTAACAGTGTTCCAAGAAGTTTGTCCCTCTACCCACATATCAAGAATCACCACAGATAGCTGTTAAAAATTAATGTTTTGGAGCCTCTTCCAGCTCTACTAAGGGCCACTGTTTTACTTTTAGAGTACATATTAGAATCACAGGGAGTTTTATGCTTGAGGGGTAGAGATACTATGTGGGTTTTAAAAAGCTTCTCAGTGACATGATGTTTATATATCTCTGATAAATAACCACTGTTGATGTTTTTTCTAACTGTGCTCAGGGGATCAAGATGCAAGAAAAGGGTACAAATATAGAGCTTTTAGAACTTTTCATTATTTCATATGCAAGTTGATGGCCTTCCTTCTACCTAACTGATTTTCTTAAAATGTTGCCTTTTAGATAAAGTGTATATTTTATTTCATTTGCCAGTACTTATTGAGCAGAGACCATAGGCTAATTTGTGGATCCAGGTCCATTTATTTTTCAAGCACCTTCGTATTTTTTTATGACACACTGCTCTTCCGGTTTGGAGAGAGTGTGATATCCTCTTCAGTTTTCTCCTTCCTAGGAACTTCTTATATCCTGGCTAGTGAGAGAGCAGCCTTGGGTTTTCTTTTTCCTAATGATAGTTGAAGGTTCCTCTAAGTAGGGAGGATTCATTCCTCCTTGTTTCCCCATAGACACAAGAAGCATGAGCCCTACCAGTTCTAGACAGGCTTTATGTCAGAAAAACAATGGATGTAATATTTGCAGGTAAAACCTGCAGTAATGAGCAGTGGTTTTTATTCAGTACAATATGTTTGAGAAGATAGTAACACTGACCTATTCCACAGTCCTGGATCCCTTGAAAGCTACAGGCTTCTGCACTATAAAGTTTTGATACCCAAATTGTTCCTTGGAATGGTGAAAATGACACATGCAATATACATAATCTTCATCCAAAGATGGATTTGTTTAAAGTAGTTAAATGATAAGAGATAAAATATAAAATCCATGTTAAAGAAAATTGAAATAACACATAAATATATCATGGGAAGTGAAAGTCCTGGGAACCCGTGCCCCACTACTACATATGCAGTGAGTAAGGTCTGAGAGTTCACACACATTTAAATTGTTGTTGACCTTGAACAACTCAGGGGTTGGAGAGCTGACCCTCCACGCAGTGGCACACGTGCCTGTAACTTTATAGTTGGACCTCTGTAACAGCGGTCCCACATCTGTGGATTCCACCAACTGCGAATGGTGTAGTATATTGTAGTACATATTTATTGAAAAAAATCTGCATATAAGTCCAGTGCAGTTCAAACTCCTGCTGTTCAAAGGTCAACTGAATTACAAAAATGGAATCATTGTTGTGCATGAATCAAATATATGTTGATCTGTAACTTTTTTTCTTTACCTTGGGTTTCTTTCTGTATTAGTATACAAAGTCTGGTTCAGTTTCATAGTTAGAACATAGTTTTTTTTAATTAAAAAACTTTAATCATGGAAAATTTCAAAGGTAAAGTAAAAAGAGCGAAGAGAATAGTATAATGAACCCCTATCATCCAATGTCAACAATTATTGACACATAGCCAACTTTGTTTCATCTGGTTCCCTTTCTTTCCCTTCCTTCCCCACCACTGATTACTATAAAGCAAATTCTAGGCATATATCATCTATAAAATTTCAAGGTGTGTCCCTAAAAGATTATGATTCTGTCTTTTTCTAAACCTCAATCTAGTATTATACCTTTAAAAAAAAAGGCAATTTTAGTAGAAAATATTCTTGGTTAGAATTTTAAAACTAGATTGGGTCTTGGTGAACAATCACTTGATAGTGTGCTAGGTACTTTATGTTATTGATATTCCTCACAGTGGTATTGCTATATATCTGTTACTGTCTCCATTTTATGTATCAGGAAACTGAAGTTTAGAAGTTATTTGAGGTCACAGAGCTTATCAGTGGCTTTGTGTAGAGAATGCAGGCTGTCTGACTATAAAACACCTGTGTTTTCCACTCTATCACATATTTGTTATGTCTGTTGTTCAGTAGAGATTTTTATAGATGAGGACTCTTTCATTTATGCACAAAGGATTTTCTTTCTTGCTTTTCATTTACATAGCCTGAAATTATTTACCATATGGTGATATGCAATTTTTCTTCTGTTTTAGATTAACAAGTGGTGGAATAACCTAAGTGATGGCCAGCGGACTGTGACAGGTTTGTGTTAGCTTACACGTTTTAGCCATTCAAGGGAAGAGAAATCAAACCAAAAGGTACAGTATGTCATAGTCAATGGCTTTTGTACCATGCTCATCAGTGGTTTAGAAGACAGAGTTTCTGTACCTTCAGGCTAATGTAATGGTTTGAAAATAGTGTGGCATAAAGGTATACATGAGGCTCTGGGTCAGTTATTTTCTAATTTTGATCTAGTATGATATTGATCAAATGATCTATCTTTGTTGTAAAATCCTAGCTTGTGAAATAGGTTATGAGTAATTATTACTTTCCCATTAAAGTAACTAAAGGGGACATTGATTAAGTACCTTCTTTATGCAGCATGCTTTATACATATTCTCTCTGTACCTCACAGGGTTGCTTACAGGGTAGTTATCTCCCTTTTTACAGATAAGGAAACTGGCTTTCAGAGAAGGAACTTTTCGAAGGTCACACTGCTAGTAAGTAAGAGCTGAGTTTCAAAACCCAGGTCTGTCTCATCCTAAAGCCGGTTTTCTCTTTTCTATACCATGCTGTTTATAAAATCCTCTTTAAATGTAAGCATGACATGTATATCACCATGATAATTTGTTTTTTTTAATTTTTATGGAAGACAGATCTGGCTCTTCAAGGTAACACTTGTGCAATATATTATGGACTTGGTTATTTTGAGAAATTTGGGGAAATGGATTTGTAAGTTCTTTAACAATTGTGCAGATAGGGAAAAAAATCTTCCTAGAGAAATAGCAAAATACTGCTTTTCCTTAAATATGGTTAGACTTAATGGTACTCTTAATTTTCTGTACCTACTTAAGTGGAGAAAAGGTGCTTATGTTTCTTCATTCAGACTGTCTGGAAGGTTTAATTTTTCTCTCTCCTTGGTGGAACCTGATCCTGTCTTCAAGCTTATGGTTTAGACATTGCTTCCTGCAGGAAGTGCTTTTTTTCTGAATTCATTGCACTTTTTAACCACTTATAACACAGCCTGCCTTATATAATTGTACATGTATCATCTTTGAGGACAGTGATGAGATTCATTTTGCTATAGCTCCTAGCACATACCTGGCACACAGTAAAGGCATTCAATTAAAATCTATTGAGTGAATGAATGTCGATGAGATCTTGAATCAAAAGATTGAGATTTTTCAAAGTATATTGCCATACTGTATAATTGATTAGTTAGTGAAGTCTTAATAAATATGATAACTTCAAAAATAGCTATGTAATAACACATGTTTCCATAGGAATTAATTGGGATTTTTGGTTTGTTTGCTTGTTTTCTGAAAATTAATAGCCTTTCCTTAGGGTAGCAAAGTTTTGATTTTTCTTGATATTTTCAAAGTATCTCACAATTAGTTGATACTTAGTGTTCTTTGAAGATTGTGAAGATTTTGTCATTTAACATTTGAGGAAACCTGGGACCAGAATTTAAAACCTTTTTCATGCCAGGAAGTGGTTTATCCAAAGAAGTGTTGGTATTTGGAGATAATTAAAAATCAGAATTCTTTCCCTTAGGTGACGTTGCAGTGTAACTAGCAGCTTGAGTATAAAGTACTTCGAACCACATAAATGTGAATGGTCATGCTAAAGACCTTAAATACTTGTCAGGTTAGCTAAGTGACTTTTAAAGGCTGAGGAAATGCTCTTTGATCTGTTCAGTGTCATCTCAAACTCCTTCAGGAAATAATTATTCTGGTAGCAGTGAATCTAGCCTCACTGTTGGTGGTGCTTTATAATCAGTTAGCTATGTACTAAAATTTCAGTGGTTAATAAACTTGTGCTTTAGTTATATCTTGTCTCTTTTCAGAGGTGCCAGTTCATTCCACTGACCTTGCTTAGCCCCTCGATTGCTTCCTTTAGGCTGATTCTAAGTGAGGTTGGCTCAGCTCCTGGCTTTTATTGAGGATGGGGTGACAGATTCATTCTGTGCCATATTTTCCTTGGATTGTAGCTGTTCTCTGAGTGTTTTTCTTTTTGTATTTTGAAAGAACTTGACAAGTCCTTAGGCCACTGACCTAGAAAGTTTCAAAGCTCTGTGAGACTGGTGTGCTTCTTTGCTCTGTAGTATTCACACCTAGACACTGGCAGCTTGAAAGCTGTAGCAGGTTAAAGATTTTGCAGTTTTACACCAAACATTTCATGTAAGAATTCCTTGCTATCTGAACCTAATGTGCTCATGGATTTGGATGGCAAGATTTTGGTTATAGCAAATTCAGACAGCAAAATGTTTTATCCAAATGCATTTGTTTCCTGAGCTTGAGGTGTAACAAGGGATATCTCAAATTTATCCATATCTCTTTTGAGTCCTAGGTTTGGATAAGAACAGTTGAAATCATAAGGGATACCTGTAATTTACTTTATCTTTAAGGTGGAATCCAGTGGTGAGGTGAAAAACCTCCCTTAGAGCTGATAGCAGTTTTGGAGTCCCTAGTTTTTGACTCTTCTAGCTCAATCTGTCCCTGGAAATCACTTTGTCAAGGTCTACCAGAGAACTGGTCTTAATCCCTTAATCTTTTTTTTCTTATCTGGTTTAGGGATTTTTTTTTTTTTGTCTTAATTGTCACACAGACATATCTCCCCAAACTTCACATTGCTCTGAAAAAGTTGTTACAAGTTCACTTGGTGCTTGTAGGATGAAGGGGGAGCATCAAGTAGCATTCTTCAAAGTTAGGCTTGTCCCTGGTACTTTTATATTTCAGCTAGTCTCCTGTATTGTCTTGCTCTGCAAGGCTTTTTTTTTTTTTTTTATGCTAATTTTTTTGCGGTACACGGGCCTCTCACTGTTGTGGCCTCTCCCGTTGCGGAGCACAGGCTCCAGACGTGCAGGCTCAGCGGCCATGGCTCACGGGCCCAGCCGCCCCGCGGCATGGGGGATCTTCCCGGACTGGGACACGAACCCGTGTCCCCTGCATTGGCAGGCGGACTCTCAACCACTGTGCCACCAGGGAAGCCCTCTGCAAGGCTTTTAAGCCTGTAGTAGAGGTCCCAGGCAACCCCCAAGGAGAGTATTTCCCCTACATTTCTAGCTTTTAGAGATGCCTATGAGGCACTCGTCATAGTTTTAGTTATTTCTGGGGAAAGGATAACAAAACTAGTGCTTGAGTGCCAGCTAGGCTTCAAGTACTATGTTAGGTACTTTATGGACACACATATTATTGTTAATCCTTATTATTAATCTTCTTAAAAAATAAATTATTTATTTTTGGCTGCGTTGGGTCTTTGTTGCTGCGCGTGGGCTTTCTCTAGTTGTGGCGAGCGGGGGCCACTCTTCGTTGCGGTGCATGGGCTTCTTATTGCAGTGGCTTCTCTTTGCTGCAGAGCACGGGCTCTAGGCATGTGGGCTTCAGTAGTTGCAGCACGCGGGCTGAGTAGTTGTGGCTCGCTGGCTCTAGAGTGCAGGTTCAGTAGTTGTGGCACATGGGCTTAGTTGCTCTGCGGCATGTGGGATCTTCCTGGACCAGGGCCGTGTCCCCTGCATTGGCAGGTGGATTCTTAACCACTGTGCCACCAGGGAAGTCCTTAAGAGCCCTGTTACTGGTATCCTCATTGTTCAGATGGGGTAAGTGAGGCTCAGAGAGGTTAAATAACTTGTCTGAGATCACACAGCTAGAAAGGCTGGAGATGGGAAACAAACTCCTTAGTTCAAATAATGTGCGTTTTATTACGTCCATTCACTTTCTGCTATAGCAAACCACCACTAATTACCTTTCTGATAAACCACACTGCCTTTCCCCATCTCAGGTATCTGAGTGCTAATTCATAGACCAAATTGCAGCAAATTGTCCCAAGGCAGCAGGCTGGCATTCAGTGAAGAAAGAGGGACGTTTTCGGCTACTCGGTTTATAGTTTGTCATTGTAAAATGAATAAATGTGCATAGTAACATTAAAATAGAGAATATGTAAAATAAAAAATAAATCTCTCTCACTGTAGACGTCCAGTTCCACCCCCATAACCATTGCCTTTTTAGCTGCTTGTGTATTCTTCCAAAGCACCTGTTTATATATAGACATTTATATCTGTATCTAACTATGGTTTAAACACAAACGGTAGCATGTAATGCATACTCCTCTACACCTCCACACCTCCTCTACACCTTTATTTTTTTTCACTTAGTATTTTAAAGGACATTCCATATCGATACAAGTAGGTCTATTGTATGCTTCCCCCCCCCCCTTTCTTCCTCCCCCCCCCCCCCCCCCCCCCCGCCCGTATGCGGGCCTCCCACTGTTGTGGCCTCTCCCGTTGCGGAGCACAGGCTCTGGACGCGCAGGCTCAGCGGCCATGGCTCACGGGCCCAGCCGCTCCGCGGCATGTGGGATCTTCCCGGCCCGGGGCACGAACCTGTGTCCCCTGCATCGGCAGGCGGAGTCTCAACCACTGTGCCACCAGGGAAGCCCCTATGTGCTTTTTAAAAGTATTTTATTGAAGTATAATATACATAGAAGAACATGCACGTGTCAGATGTACAACTGATTTTCACAAACTGAGCACATCCACATAACTAGCACCCAGATCAAGAAATGGAAATTACCAGCACGCCAGGGTAATTCTTTTTAATGGCATTGCAGCAGTTCGTGCAAATGAATACTATTGTAACAAGTCTTCTATTAATGAATACTTAGGTTGTCTTTAGTCTTGCTTTCATAGCAGGATGGAAGATGGATAGTCTCTTTGGATTTCCTCTCGATTTCAGGAAGCTGTGGAACCAGTCCTTAACTTGTTTTGTGGATACTCCCCAGAAGGAGAAATTATAGCCACTGTGTGAGGCCGACAGAATGATCCCAGTGCTTGTAGTCCTGGCTCCCAGGGAACCTGAGGACCGCTTGAACTCAGTTGTTTGGCTGCTGTGGGTGTGTGTGCTTGTCATTGTCTGGACTAGCCAGGTTCATTCAGATAGAGGAGCAGTGGAGGGGTGAGCTGGCCCACCTCAAACAGAAGGGATGCTGTACTTAGCTGTTAGACTCCAACTGGGATAGTCTTTTTTTTTCTTTTTTAGGAAAAG